ACATTTGTAACAACTACCAGTAGATGGCAGTGTTTGGTTGCATTTGGTTATTTAAAGAAAAGCTCAGGCTGATCATGAAAAGGACCTGACTGCAACTAAAACTGAAATGCTTGTTGAGAATAAAAGCAAAATTAACTTATGTCACTGTTGGGAAATATCAAACAGATGGGTTCATTACTTGCAGGAGGATGTGACAGACTGCTAACGAGCAGAAACAAACAAACAAAAAAAAAAATCCAGAGGATATATGAAGCTGAATGGAGGTGCAGGAGTTGGTAAGATGTTGCTCATCATTCTCCTACCCCCCTGTGTGAGGGGGTGAACTCCCACAGAGAAGTTAAGGTTTTTTTTGCACCAGATGTTCTTCATGACACAACGTGGGCTTGAATCCGTAGCCACAGGATGGCAAGACCACGGCACTGACAGCTTTTACGACATGCTTCTGACAAATGTCTGTTTTGATGTGGAGTCAGTGAGTTTCAGCTCAGTATTTGTGTTTGCACGAGTCAGCTGAGCAATAAAGTAAGACGAGGTGTTGAAGATGCAACAGACATGAAGACAGAGCGATGGAAGACATGGCAGTAGGGCAGTGATTTAATTAGCACCCTCTACCCCCTCCAGCCCTTCACTCATAGCATCAATAATGCATGGCCCCTTGTTTCCACTGCCATAATTAATCCTCTCTTACTATAATTAAAAGCCCAAAATCCCACAAGATGGTTCAGCCCGGCCAGGCGAGGGACAGGGTTGGCACGGGAACTAATAAAACCCTCACCCTGTGGATGGACACATCGACAGAGAGACAGACATGTTGACAGAGAGACAGACAGGAACTCTGCCACAGACAGGGAGGCTGACTGCAGGAGAGCTGAAACACCAGGAAACAGGGACTGAATGAACGAAAGGATCTGAGACAAAAGTGGAATTGTTGATTTCTGCATTTGTGAATGGGCAAGAAAAGTGGGGAAGGAGAAAGACAGCACATTTCCACACACGCACACATGCAGAGACGTGCACACGCTTACTTACAGAAGCATCCAGCTCCCAGATGAGGTTCGTCTCTGCTGCAGCCAAGCCAGACGAGAGGGAGAGGAGGAGCTTTCTGATGCTGCAATTAGGACCACACTGTCTGGGCGAGAAAACCAGAATAAATATTTCAGTCCGGAGATCTCCATGGATGCCTATGGTGGGGGCCTGGCACACCTACAGGCACACACACAGTTTACAGAAGCTGGCAGGTTTATCCACCTTCCAATCGCAGATGCCACAATTATCACAACAGTATCTTTGCGTAAACAGTGCCAACTGTTCTGCTGCTTGAACTGTTGTACAAGGTTTACACTAAGAACATAAATATAATAAATGTACTCTTGGATGTTTATTCTTCTTTTCTTTGCAGAAATGAGAGCTATGAGCATCCAGCTTGGCTGCATGCCAGGAAACAGCAGCACAGATCACCTGAGGCCTTAATGTCTCCTCTTCCACTCACCTTTCTGCCATTTTCCTCCAGCGTCTCACTTCAGAAGCTCGGACTGTGCAGATCCTCCTCGCTGGACCTGCACAGTCCAGGAGCAGTCCCCTCTGGTGGAGTGCCGCCCTCCTCCTGCCTCCAACTGCCGTCCTGCACGCCCCCACCTCCACTTGATTTATCGCCCTAAAATACCACTGCACTAATTAGTCAAGTAATTAATTAATAGGCATTTGCATTTGTGCATATGCAATTAGGGGGTTGGAGAGAGGAGAGTGCAGATGGGGTCCGGGAATCTGGTGTGAGGAGGAGGAAGGGTGTGTGTCGGGGTGGGGTGGGGGGAGGCTCCCTTTGTGTATGTGTGCGTTTCATAGCTTGTATTTAAGCAAGCAGAAGTTTGCACAAGAGAAGTTCAGGTTATCACCTCTCCTGCCTGACAGCAAGAAAAGGACTGGGGGGGGGGGGGGGGGGGGGGGGGGGGGGGGGGGGGGCAAAGGTGTTGAGGTGTGGCTTGAAGACTTTGAAAGGTTACTGGATGTCATTCACAGAGGAAGAGGAGTGATGGAGATGAACATCTTAAAGGGAAAGAGCTTTTCCATTTTGATTGCAGTGCGTGGAAAAGCACAGCAGGTGGTCTTTGCTTTGACTAATCCGTGCACAGACCGGATGCAAAGTGGTTCTGAAAAACCATAAATCCCAACAAGCCCCCTCCTCTGGCGTTTTAATATCAGATCAAAGTCTCCCTGATTGGACTCACAGCCGGTTAAACTGGAGCTGTTGACATTTAGCATTTGTTTTGGCAAGGTGACCTGAAGGTGGTCTGGGAGTGGAGAATCGCTGCCCACACCTCTCTGACCACAGCTCCCCCCTCCCCCACCAAAACACAGCTGAGGAAGGATTTGGCTGATGGGGATGCTGGATGCCGCGCTGCACATGCACGACACGCGCCGTGGTCTGGGGAACAGCCACGTTATCATAGTTCCACAGGGGCGGGGTGGACACACTATAGTGACCAGCTGCCGTGACCCCATGATGACCCTTTAACCTCCAAACCCCCTGAGTTCTGTTTGCAGAGGAGATGACACTCAGACCCAAGGACATGAGGAGCTATGATCCTGCAGGTCCCTGTTCTCTCAGCCCGGTGGCTCTCCTCGTGCCAGCTTGGACTTTGTGGTCATCAAGCTCATTTCTCCCACATTAACTTCAGTAATTCCTCCTCAATAGAGAGATCTCTGATGCTGGACACTCTGCAGCAGATCAGACGTAGTCCAGGGCGCAGGATGGCGAGGAATCCTCGCACCTCCACCACTCATATGCCAACATGCCTCCTCCTTAATCATGGGCACCTCTGCCAGCTCCAACCTGCACCAATTCCCTGTCACCCACCAGCACACCCGCCCCCCTCCTCATTTTTCATACATCCCTGGTGGAGCCGCACACCTGGGTCTCTCCGCTTCCCTTCGCTCAGCACCGCAGCAAACACGGCCCTCGGCCCAACATCCGATCCTCAAACCTTTTCTCCTGCGTGGAATATTTTAATCACATTCATCTCTGGCAAGTGGGTCAGAGTCGGTGTTGGACCCCCGCAAGAGTCGGAACAAATCACAATTGGTTTTGGTTCCTCTGAATACATGAAGGCATAATTTGATCCAATTAGGTAAATAAATAAACAATATGCCTTCTGTTCCACTGGCCTTAATGCACTTATGATGCATCCCCCCACCCCCCACCCCCACTCAGGCATGAAGGAACCAAAGATGCAGACTGACTCAGAACTGTCTGTTTGACTTCAAAGGTGTAAATGATCGTTCCATGAAAACTTCAAAAACTGCTGATGACTTTGTTGCTGAGTTAAAACTGTTGTTGGACCCAATACTGGGTCAACCAGTACTGAGTATAGCTGTTGTTGGACCCAGTACTGGGTCCAGCTGTTGTTGGACCCATGGGTCCAGAACTTGGACGCAGATGTTTAAAGCATGACATTCTTCACAGTCCACCATGTTGAACCAGAACGTACCCAAACAGGACCTCTGCTTTACCATGAATCCACCAGTAACTTCAGTTTGCTGCCACAAAAAAGTAAATTAGTGTCAGGTAACACAATCCCAAACAATAATTCCCAAATTATAATCCAAGATACGGGCTGCTCTTTTTAACTGAATTGATTAATATCTCTAAATGATTAAATTAGTCATTTTAACCTAAATTTGGGATTTAAAAAAAAATCACCCATTGTTGATTTAAACTGGTTTCAAGTTTTGGTGTTTGTTTACACAGTGATGGAAGACAGACAGACAGACAGACAGACAGACAGACAGACAGATAGACAGACAGACAGACAGACAGACAGACAGACAGACAGACAGACA